TCTAGCTTCAGTTGCGTCTCGATAGTGAGTGTCAGGTTCACAAAGATGCTTTCGGTCTCTCTAACGTCGGTGTTACTGTCAGAGAATCAGAGAGGCTCAGAAGTTTACTCAGGACCACAAGCCTCTAAGTAGAGACCTGGCATTCAAGCTACAAAAGTGGCTCCACGTTCATACAAGATAGAGCAGGGTCCCAGCTGGGCTGTGGGGACAGAAGATTTTGAAGGGAAAACCACTGTCTGATCCCTCATGAAGGAAGAACTCAAGAGGAGGTAGGCACTCACACCTTAGTGAGAATTAGGCTTCCTCTAGTGGCATCAGATTTGGAAGTAGGGGTGGGGGCCTTGAAGAACCTCATTTAGTGAGGGGCTTGGCCAGCTGGCTGGTGAGTTGGTGGGCTGGAGGGGAAAAGAAATTGAAGAGTAGGGAATCTGATATGGAGGGGCACCCCCACATTCAAGGAGACCCAAGGCCGTGTACTGGAAAAGCACAAGTCTCCTCACAGCTGCCCGCCATGTCTGTCAGGGGCTCAGGTCCAGCAGTTGTGTTGCCACGGCTCTGTGACAGTATCTGCTCTGTGGGCTCCGTCTGTACTCAGAACCCACCTCTTGGTTCCTGCAGTTCTTACTGTGCCCCTGCGCTGGCTATCTCCTGCCTGCCTAGAGCTCAGGCCTCTCTCCCTGCTTGTTCTTCACAGCTGTCTACCTACCCAGGCTTGCAAAGCTGCCCCCCCATGCTGGTCACCCTCCCATTTCTGTCCCCCACAAAGCACTTGGAACTGTGAATTTTACTTGTTTAGAAAAGGTTCTGTCTTTGCTAACTGGAGTGTTTCTTCTATACCCTCCTTGATTATAATACCCTTGGTAAACAGTGGTGCTTAATAAATGTGTTGAGCCTGTGATCAATGAGCAAACTCATGTCCAAATGGCAAGTCAGAGTGCCAAGGTCAGACAAGACCTTCAGGGAAGGGAGGGAGGGCAGGTTGCCCCAATGAGTAGGGGCAGATGTGGGGGGTACTGGGGGGTGCACAAGGAGGGACTGGGGAGCAGGCGTCTGGAGTCTTCGTGCATCTCCTCAGCCGTGGCATCAGGAGAGGTATGTATGTGGCCCGGAGGGGGTGCTGACACAGCTGTGAGGCTGACAATCACCAGCTTCTAAGAGCTAGCCTCGTGCTTCCCCTCCCCCACTGTCCCAGGATGGAAGGCAGCCTGGCCTGCATGAGCTCCGTGAAATCAGTGAAGTGAGGAGGTCAAGGTGTGGGCCAAACGCATGAGCAGGTGCCCCTATGAGAACAGTACCGACCTCAGGACACAGGGACTGAGTTCAAGGGGGAGAAGGCTGAGCAGGGCATCTGGAAATTCATTAGCAGCACAAAAGACTTCAGTCAGGAAGCGGGAGCAGGGCTGGCTCTGGTGGAGTGTCTGCCACCACAGTGAAGCTCCAGTGCCGCCCCAGCACCCCAGCATGAGACGCTCAACAGCGAGAAAGCTGGGAGGTCCTGTCCAGTCAAGGACCACAGTGAGCGACATAAGGTGGCTGGAAGCAGCCATCACACTGGGTCCCTGGGGAAGTGCCTGCAGAGGCCATCATCTGCCATCATCAAATGACAGGAATCCAGCTAGGAGAGTCCCCACGCCCACCTGATGGAGGACCTGGGCAGTGGCACTGGGTGCCTCTGGGCCTGTGATCACGTGGGCCCTGCCACAGGGGGCGCTTGTCCATGGATGCCCACAGCAGCTCTGCTTAACTTGACCCAACCACTGGGGAGCGCCTGCGGCTCAGTGTGATGATGGCCCATCACTGGGGACCCACAGCCCCAGTGGGACTCCTATAGCCAAGCAGCTGCAAGGCTGGAGCTGCCCATGGACTCGAAGGCCAGGATCCCGATGACCCTGAGGTGGGGGCAGCGTTTGGGGAAGGGTCTTGGAGACTTGGGGTGGCTGGCAGCCTGCAGGCGGTCCCCAGGTTTGCCCTTACAGCTAGATGTGCATGTGTGTTGATCACCAGCTCTCTGTTGCTTCTCTGGAGACTACCATGTCCCGCTGCTTTAAGGACTAGCTTTGGCAGTGGGCGTGGTCCCCAGCGAGGGATCTGGGCTTGCCAAGTAACCCTCTGCACCTCAGGGCAGAGGAGAAGCTGCAGCTCAAAGGGAGAAAGAGGGGCTGCCAAGCAGGGCAGCAGAGAGAGGCCCATGGCCACCACCCAACAGGCAGCTGAGATGCAGGGTCTCCTCCCAGGGCCAGCACAGAAAATTCTACACAGAGCTGGAGGTGGAGTAGCTGAGCAGGGGTGTGCGTGACTCAGGGGGAGAGGTGGGGCCATCAATCGGTGTGGTTGTGCACCTACTGTGTGCCACCTGGCCCAAGGAGTCCTACTGTGGGCAAGCGTCTTTCAGTCGCCGGAGCTTGCAGATGAGAGGTCAGAGCCAAGTCCTGCTCTCAGGGTGCCCACCTGTGGCACTGGGAAGGAGAGGAACCTCATTCCAGGTGTCTGGGACAGGCCCCTGAAACCTTCCCCCGCCCTGTCCTCCTCTGTCCCATATCGCTTCCTGAGCCCGCAGGTCTTTGCACTCCTCCAGGAGGGTATTCTGTCGAACCTGTCATCCCGAGTCCCAGTTCATATCCTGAGAATCCTTTTCCGATACTTCCGGAGGCTAATGTCCCTAGCCTGCTAATGGAGCATCCTGGACAGACCTCACTGTCCCCTACCCCCTCGCCTGTGGGCTTGTTTTGAATGCTGGGCGGGGTCTCCAGGACAGGGCCTGGTACATGACTTGGGTAAGAACCCAGAGGAGAGGGTCTTGCGAATCTCAGAGTCTGCGGCATAGCTAACAGTGGGGAAGAGGTTTCCTGGGCAGTCATTTGCCGAGGGCTCCATGGCAGGACCATGCTGCAGGGAGGGAGTCCTGCAGAGCCGAGGAAAGTGAGAGCCCAGCTGCTCATCTGCTCACAGAAGGCTGCCACCAAAGTCAATCTTCCCCGTTAGCCACTCAGGCTCAAGCCTGGGGTGGGTGGGTGGAGGAGTGGGCGGGGCCAAGGCTGGACCTCCCAGAACTCAACCTAGTTCCCAAGCCCATGTTATGGCGAGAAAACCTGCATGCTGCCCCAGGAGGCAGAGCCAAGCTCATACCACCTTCTGCCTAAGTACCCAGGACCCTTTTACTCAACCACAAAAGCCTTTCCTCCTGCCTGGACGAGTGGGCTGCCCCCTCTCCGGGGAAAGTCTACCTTGGCCCCTGCTGTGCTCCTGGCCCCAACACCAGACGCCTGACCCCACCCCCTCCTCCCAACATCCCTAGGTAGGGCTGTTCTTTCTGCAGCGGAGGAAGCTCAGCCAGGAAGAAAAGGGCTCTACTAAAAGCTAGCTCTGTGGGACCCCAAATCCTATGACAGCCCTGAGGAGGTCACATGACTGGATTCCCTTAGCCTCCGGTTCCTCAGGCCCAACCCTAATCCCCAGTCAGAAACCCATCTGGCTGTCAGGTCCCAGGGAAGGAATGTTTTGGAGGGAGCTAGGGGCCAGCAGCTGACCACAATGAGACCCTCCCCAATTCCAGGGGTAGGACCCTCCCCGGACCAATTCCAGGGGTAGGACCCTCCCCGGACCAATTCCAGGAGGCATACTGAGTCCCATCTTCAAGACCCCTCCAAATCTGGAAGGTCATGTGATCCAATCCAGTCCAGGGGCCCAGGCCCTTACCACTGCTCCCAGCCCTCCCCTTTCAGCAGAGGACATGACATCTGCCTACTTATGTCCCCAATCAGGTTGACCAGGCCCCAGGCCTGGCACAGACCACACCCAAGACCCTTGGTTGAGCATAGGGAGAGAGGGAGAGAAGGAAGTTTAGGGAGTCTGTCTGGTTTCTAGAAGGCTCTCCATTTTTCTCCATTCCCAGTTGGGTTGAACAGTGTCCCCCTCCCCCCTCAGTGTGGGGGTGATGATGAGAAACAGCCAAGGAGGGGCACCAGTGAGGGTCCTGGCCTGGGGAGGGAAGCCTGCTGGGTTTGGGCCTGAGGTCATGGCTATGACCATGGACAGAACCATGGCTCTCCAGGCCTAGATGCCTCCACTTGGGCCTGGACCATGCAAGGTGGGCCTTGGCCCACTGACATCAGGTTTTGTTCTGAGGTCCCAAGGGGCCCCCACCCCACCCCCAGCTCAAAAGATGCTGGTCCCAAGCCCGTGATCCTATGCTCTTGTCTCCAGATACCTGAGTATCTGAGACCACTCATCAGTATTGAAGGTCAGCTGGGAAGGCCCAGCCCCTCCCCTAGAGCCAGGCCCTACCTCGGGCCAGGCCCGAGCTGAGCCAGGCCCTACCCCTCAGGGAATAGTGGCCTGTTACCCAGTTCTTCCCATAGTGAAAATTTTAGCCTCGGACATCGGGGCCGGGAGACCTTCCGGGCCAGGGGCGATGGCCCGAACCCAGCACCAAAGGACCGGGCCTGCTGACCACACAGCCTGGGCCCTGGCTCGGGAGGAAAACGCTGGGGGGGGAGGGGGGGTGTCCGAAGGAAAGGGCGATGGCGCCAGAAGCCGCGAATATTCAAATGGGCTGGTCCCCGGGTTGCTGCGCGCCCGGCCCCTCGGAGCCCCGGACCCCCTCTATGTTGGGGTGCGCGGGAAGGCCTTGGGGGCGCTTCGGGCCGCGGCCGCGGGGTTCCCCCAAAATGGCTCCAAGACGCGGGGCCTGGGCAGCCGCGCGGGCTCCATCCCCGACCGCCGCCATCGGCGCAAACTTTGCCACCCCGGCCGCGACAACTGTCGGCTCAACGACGGGGACGTGGCGATGGGGCCCCGGGGTCCCAAGGGGCTAGCGCGCGAGGGCCCCGGGGACCGGCCTGGGATGACGCCCCTGTTACGGCTGCCCCGAGCCCCGTGCGCTGCCCCGCGCCCAGCCGCGCCCCCCGGCCCGCCAACCGTGCCCATCCCGAGCCCCCCGGGCCCCGCCGCACCCCCCGGCCCGCCCTCTCCCGAGCCCCCAGCCCGCCCGCGGCACTCACCTGAGTTTCTCCATGTCTGCGGCAGAGGCCTGCGGAGAGCAAAGGAGAGGGTCAGCGCGCAGCAGGGCGCCCCGCTGGCCCGTTCCGTGGGCAGCCCCGCACGCGCCCCAGCCCGCACCCCCGTGCCTCAGTGGGCGCGCCGGGCCGCGGCCGTGTAACAGGTGAGCCCGCCCGGGCCGCCGCCGAGTTACGCCCCCCGGGCCGAGCCGGAGACCGGTCGGGAAAGCGGGAGGCAGCGGCCCGGGCGGATCGCGGCATCGCCAGCGAAGGGGCCCCGCCGTGCCCGTCGACTCTCGGGCGGCTGCGGCCCCCGCCGCTCCCCGTCCCCGTCGTTAACCCCTGCTGCCCCGCTCCCTCCCTCTGTCCCTCCCGAGCCCGGCAGCGCAGGAGCGCTGAGTCGCTAGAGAGTGTTGGAACCGCGCACCCGGCCGGCGCTCATGCAGCCCGAGGGGAACGGCATCGGACGTCTGGCACTCTCGCTTCCGTCTGGGACCCTGCTGTCCTCCGATCTCGGGGTTCGGAGCCTTCCCCCCCTCCTGGGCCCGAGGGATTAACCCTGGAGCTCCCGGTTCTCCGGCGGGGCTTCGGGCAGCTGGCGCAGACTCGCCGGCGGCGCGCGATGTAAAGACCCTCCGAGACGGACGGCCCCTCCCGTGCGCTTGGGACTCACTAGTCCCTGTTAACCCTGCGGGTTCCGGCAAACCCCGGGGACGGCGAGCGGCCCGTGCGGGATCGCACTTCCTGCGCACAGCGGGCTCTTCTGCGCCCGGCCGAGGCCGCCCCGGGGCTGCCCCCGCCCTCCTGCGAAAGGCTGTGCTGGAGTCTGAACCCTGGGACGACGCCACAGACCTGGGAAGACTGATGGCTGCCCATCCCGGACCCTCGCGCCGGGCGCCGCCGCCGCGTCCGCCGGGAGCGCGCTCCGCTCGGTCCGGGCCCCACGCCGCCTCCCCCACCGCCCCGCCGAGCGAGGGCGCAGCCCGGCCTCGCAGCCGCGGCTAGGCTCGGCCAGCAACTTCCCCCGCGCCCGAGCAGGCCTCCCCGGCGCTCCCCCAGCCTCAGTTTCCTCGTCTGAAATCTGGAAGAGGGAAGGCGAGGCGGGAGGAGCTCGGCCAGGCGCTCGGCTGCCCTCCAGCCCTGGCGAGCTGCAGAGGGGCCGGGCTAGGCAAAGGACCCCTGGGGCGCCCGGTGGGCTTCCCTCCCCGCACACTTTAATAAAAGTTTACAAAAAGCACGAGCCCAGACCCCCTTCTACGAGTCTCCCTGCAGAAGTAGTTTCTTAGTTAGAGTTTGGCGCATACCAGCACGACCCCCCCCCCCCCCCCCCCCCCCCCC